GGGGGTTCTTTATGTTTGTTTACTTCATCGCGAAGTCCTTTCGTCGGCAGACAACGAGCGAGGTTCGTCGTCCTCGAAGAAGGAAGTATGAAGCTCCATTAATTCAAAATAAAAGTTTTTTTCGCTCTCTTTTTTTTTAAGAGTAGACTGTCGCTGAAGTAATACGCAGATTTTATGTTAGGAAAAGTGAATAAAAAATAACATTTAGATTTTACCATGCATTATATTAAATAAGAGTAGATATGACTCCCATATTGTATGATTCAAACAGCAACAAGTGGCACATAAACATAAACAGAAGACAAATTGTAAACATATTAAGACTGACAACAATCACTGTATCTTACTGTACATACTTGCTCTACATTAAATGATTTAATCGATTTTTCACCTGTTACCACACCACGTCTCTGTTTGAAAATGTTAAATTCAAAAACAATATCAGAATCTATGTTCAGATTAATTAACTTACTAAACTTACTACCTAAAATAGATGTATGATTCTTAGCACTGTGATTTGTATTCAGCAGTGAGCTGTGCTTCCTGTCTGCCTGCACTAGGAGGCGTATTTGCTCTGTTATTGGCTTTGAATCGTTGATGTGGTTCAATAAAACACAACCCCTGGTTCTGGGGGAGCTTTAAGGACACACAATACTGTCCTGAACATAAAAATAATCTTAATGGCCTTCTCCTTTTAGGGGCTAGAAGTGATAGTAGGCTGCTGGGTTATCATTGTCCATAATCTTTTGGGATTATAGTATTTTATTCTTTCTTTTCCTCCCTATAAGCATCTTTTTGGTTTAAACATATTTTTGTCTATGCAACTGAAACATAGTAGTGGTAAACACACACCAGAAGTGCTGGTTATGGTACAAACTTCATAATTAACATAATTGCTATCAGGTGCTGGATGGCTTTTTAACTGCATGTTTTGTATACATAAAGTAAAAATCCTTGAAAAATCCAATTGTTTGCCAAAACATCATAATAAATCATAAGAGTGCGGTGTGCAGTTGCATGGTTTATTCTATGTGTAAGCTGCCGTCAAGAGTGTCCCTCTTATGAAAGATATAAGTTGACTTTTTATGTATTATATTTGTATTAAAATAGCCACAATTATGAAAGAAATGTTAACACTGTCTGTACTAACCCATATTTTTATTTATATTTAGATAGTTAGCATTCCATTACACTGAGTTTATGATCATCTGGTTTGGGATAACATATCAGAATCACTTTTATTGGCCCGGGTATGTGCACACATACAAGGACTTTGACTACTGTTTTACGTTCCTCTCGATGTATGATCATCAAAGGCCAGAATTTAAATGAAGGCTAATTTGAATAGTTTTTAAATGTTAACCAAGTGGAGACTCTTGGCAGGTGTGATGAATACTTACATCACTGCATCCGATTTCATTTACATGTGAAGGCCACGATGGCGACTTGGGACGTTGTCTCTGCTGGAGGCAGTCTAAGTGTCACCTGGAGGATCCCTTGTGTGGGACAGGACAGATTACAGGGACAGCACAATGGATAACACCAATTACAAGGACATCAGTTATTATCACAGGGATGTCACAAGTGATGGCACACCCAGTTGCAGTGACAATTACAGTACAACTGACTAGACTACTTACACAGGGTCTACAAGAGGTGGCAATCTGTTATTACTGGGATCCAGAAAGTCAAGACACCTTCATTTAATGGGAAAACACAAATTATATAGACAGCGCAAGCGATACTTAACAGTTTTTATTCCATTCTGACTCACAAACATGGAGCGTTGTCATCTTGTTGCTGACAGAGAAACAACTTCTACAAACAGTCACAGCCTTTATTTAAAAACTGATGGTGCCTCCTTTTTCATGTTTATTGTGCAGACATCATAATAGATCTCTGTTGAGGTATTTATATTTGTTTGATTTGTTTTAATACAGTATATGACAATCTGTAGTTCCCTGTATACTTTTTTGCTCTAGACTGTATTTCACATGACAAAATGACAGCTCTGTAATTGCAGGGGTCACAAGAATTTTGAGAATTAAAAATGGGATGAAGGCACTGAAGAAGAAGAAGAAGAAGAAGAAACCCTGCAATAAAAGCTTCACAAAACCTCTATTAGGACGTTTGGGAAAACACTGGAATGAATATTTGAACCCTCTCCAAAAAAGAGAGGAACAGTGAGACTTTGTAAAACAACAAACGCCACTCCAGTCTTGCTTCCAGACAAAGGAAAAACTAATTTTGTAGAGAAATCTTTCCAGTTCAGACTGTATAAAAGTCTGCTTTCAGACAGTAAACGAAAAAACGCACACAGAGGGAGGTGATATCCCTGCTCTGAGAAAATGTGCTTTTCCTCTGTTGGCATATTAGGAAACTGAACCCACTAACACATGAACATTTTCAGCAGCCCAGCATCTTACTCCTGCAGTGACTGTGGCAGACTGCCTGTCAGCAGACAGTAGGGAACCACAAGAGAGCAGCGGAGCCTTTATCTTCCTTCATGAACTGCAGTTACAAGTTTTCCCACTTTATGTGGCTCCAGAGCTTATCAGGGGAAGCCATTTGGCAGCAGCAGCAAAGGAAAGCTGCATGGCTTCTGTTTGTCAGGTGAATAGAAATAAATCATATAGAGATAAAATACCAGGTTGGAAAAACTATGCTGCTGTCCAGTTAAAATGAAGGCCAGACACACAGGTTGATCAATTTTTAGAAGAAACGTAACCATTGTTGTTTGTATGTGAGACCTCAAGAGACACACAATATCCTAATCTAATATAATAACTGAGGTTGTTTGAGATGTTTAATAGAAGCTTAGCTTTAGCAATTGTTTTTGAGATAATACAGAACAGTTTGTAGTCAAGCTGGCTCCAGAACAAAATCACAGCAACGAGCTTTGACACACCATATGAACATATCATGCACATTTTGCTAACATGTATGCAAACAGTTTGCCTAGAGGGAGCCACAGGGCCTCCACCAGACTGCCCCACACACCAAAACAATGAGCAGAAATCATTTAAAGGCAGCCCAGGGCAGCAGAGCTACAAGAGGGGTTGACAACACTTTCACATTATAGGGACCTGCTTGATTAAATGTTAATATGAAGATGTTGGTTTATAATATTTAAATCTGAATATGAGGCCAGATACACCTTATTCCAAGTGTTGTAGCAGAGACAGTTGCATGTTGTCTGCAGCATCTTAGCATCTGCAGTGACTGGTAGTGTAGCACCTTCTTGATGGTAGTTGTTGTGTCTCAGTCACTTTCCAGGCAGTCCAGGAATCTGAACCACTGACCCTCTGGTCACAGGGTCACTTCTGCAACCATTTGGCTACTGTCCTCCACTAATGTTTATATTCTGTACTCATGTTTGTCCTCTATGTCCTGTTGAAGTATTCTGTTGCGTGATGAACCTGCACAACTCAAACAAAAGTTGCTATTGAGGTCATAATAACAAAGTATAACTGTTTATTTTGTGTGTATTTATTAAGTCTGCCACGAATTAGACAAAAATGAATGGTTTTGGGTGTTTGTCTGTCTGCTGTGTTATCTGCCCTTAGTGGGTGACTCAACATCCCAAATCGTCTCCACACACATACACACACACACATCCTCTACAGCGTGAGTGACACATTTATCTTCAGAGGAAAGGAGGAGGGAGAACAGGGCAAGATACACAGCCTAAAAACAGACAGCAGGCAGGTAGTCATAGATAAATCTGTGAGTGAGTGTGTGTCGGTGTTAGTATTCGAGACGAGGTCCGACATGCTGAGCCAGCTAGTGAGCCAGATAATGCAGGTCAGTCAAGAGTATTAGAATCTTTCAAAAGGCAGTTTAATAGACGGACTTGAGACAGTTGGAAGACCTAAAAGACAACCCAAGAATCAGTGCTACTCTCACTGTTGCCAAATCTCTGCATAGTCAAGGAAACACATCATTTTATCATTCTTGTCTAGACCTGATAATCTATAGACCTTAATATCTGGTGAGAAGGAGAGACATTTTCCAACCCAAGTCATCCTGTGGTATCTGTGTGTCTTGTGTGTGTTGTTGCAGAGCAGCTCTTTCCCAGACCAGTGATAAGTGTCACCTCGGTGGGGGCTTTGACACCTGGGCTGGTGTAAAGGTGGGGGTTGGTAGGACGTGAGAAGTCTGGGGTTCACACCTCATTGACGGTAGGAGATGATCCTGTAACTAACCCCCTAATACACACACACACTCATACTACAAATCCACGGTGCACATTAAAGGATCATACCCCAGGCTTTGAAAGTTTTAGCCCTTTACTGTGTACTTTGTTACAGTCAACTGTTTTCCAGAGGACATCATAACTTTTAAGATCTGCAGCAACTGGTTCACGTTCATTGGTGCTTTTGAGATAGGTTATACATCACAGAAAGTACTTTAAATCTACTTGATTTGGTTTAACCAAATGCAGCTGAGAAAGGATTCACAGGAGCTCCAACATCATCTGAAATCTGCCAACTGCCAAAAACCGTTGCACAAGCTATGTTGTCAAACAAAAACAAACATGGATTCTGTTTTATATTGTTGTGTCCAATGATAATGTAAATTTCATAGTTGATTGCATTAAAAAGTTTCTGTTCGACAGTACGCTCACCTCTTTTGCATGTCGGAGTGTCTTAAATGCATCTGCAAAGACAATAAAGCTGTCCTTCCTGGAACTGCATCACCATGCTTGATAATGTAACTTTTACAAATAAACTTAATAAACAGTACAATATACTTTCTGTGATGGATTACCCATGTCAAGCAAGTTTAAAATATCTTCAAGTTGATTTTCGTTCTGAGTGAACTGTTGAATGGCTGCCTGGAGGGTAGAAAATAAGTCTGAAACTTACGGTATGCTTTGGAAAATGTTTGGCCCTCATGCAAATTACATGAGATTCGTAACTAATGGGCTAAAACATGAAAAACCACAGGAATGATCAG